TGAACTTTCCATTGAGGCGGCTTTGAACTTGTCCCTTCCTTATTGGGTCTCCCCTGCTCCTCCTGCTGTGGAGACCCTAGCCCATCTGCGAGAAGCCAGGACGCGGCCCCCACAGCCACAGGGGTCCACGAGGGGCCACATGGGCTCCAATCCTATCTGCCCATCTCCGGCCCTGCCGAGAGGGTCTCTTCCGGGGGGGACGGAAGTGGAAACCACAGATGGGGGTGATAGGGAGGGATGGAGAGGCTGAGCAGCAGGTGTACCTGCCAAGCCAGGTCTCCAGTGGGGAAGGCTGGGGACCACCAGGCAGTGCCCCGCCAGTGAAGGGAGGCTCAAGGCCGTGCTCCCTGGGGGTGGCCTGGGAGCCTCGGAGCCCTGTCCCTGGACCCTGGGGTGGGGGTCATCCTGCCAGAACCCTGCCCTGGCCTCCTCCCCTCTGTCTTTGCAGTCCTCTGGAGGATGCAGAGTGGGTGTGGTGCTCCCGGGGCAGGAAGATCAACAGGCAGGGACAGGAGCCTTTGGTGTGGACTTCAGCACCCTGGGAGGCCTCGGGGAGAGGCAGCCAAGGCCTGGCCACACTGTGAGGTGCTGATGGCTCTGGGAAAAGCCCTGAACCTTCCTGAGCCCGTTTCTTCCTCCTGAGTAAGACGGGCAATGCTAGTGCCTCGTGGGGCACAGATGCGCCCAGAACAGGGCCGCCCGGGGGGAGCCGAGAGCTCGGGAATGGAAGCTGATGTCATCAGTGTCACTGTCGTCATCATCGCTGCGCCCGGAGGCTGCTGGGCTGGAAAGTCCTCTTCCAGGTCTGCGTTTGCTTTGCAAACCCCGGAGTCCTGCTCCACGCCCAGTCACAGGCCTGTGGCCACCTGTCTTTCTAGAGCAACCTAGGCACCAGTGCACCTCCCTGCCTTAGACACTGCTCCGACTCCCCAGTGCCCTAGGACAATGACCAAACCCCCGCCCCACCCCAGCTCCAGGCAGCAAGCATCACACTTGTCACCAGTAAGAATGCCCTTCGCTCCCTGTCCAGCCAACTCCTGCACATGCTTCAAAGGCCCATTCTGTTGTCCCCTCTTTGTCATCCTTTCTCCCAACAAACCCGGGCAGAGTCAGTGGCGTCTTCACCTCTTCCTGCGCAGCTTGTGTGGGTCTCACAGGACGTGGGGGTTACGGAGGGGCAGCGTGTGGGGAGAAACGTTACTGTCTTGGGAATTTCTCTGGAATCCCGTAAGAAGTGAAATGAGCCAGGCGCCCAGGCTGGAAGAGAGAAGACGCTCTCTGTATGAGAAGGGAGGTGCACAGCAGGTGGAATTCACATCTGAGCAACACTGTTCACTTGCAGTGGGGCAGGACAGGATGGACGAGGTCTTACTGACATGAATTTATGTGGCGGGAGTTTCAAACAATGTAAAAATATTCCTTATTTAGCTGGCACTGTGGCAGAGTGGGTAAAGCTGCCGCCTGCAGGGCTGGCATCCCATATGGTCACCGGTTGGAGTCCCAGCTACTCCACTTTCAATCTAGCTCTCTCCTATGACCTGGAAAAGCAGTGGGAGACAGCCCAAGTGCTTGGGCCCCGGCACCCACCTGGGAGTTACGGAAGAAGCTCCTGGGTTCGGATTGGCCCAGCTCCTACTGTTGCAGCCATTTGGGGAGTGAACCAGTGGATGGAAGACTCCTTCTCTCTGTCTCTGTCTCTCTGTCTCTCTCTCTCTCTCTGCCTCTGCCTCTTTGTAACTCTGTCTTTTAAATAAATCAATAAATCTTTAAGAAAAAATATTCCCCATTTAAAAGAAAGACTAAGAAAAGAAGGGCAGAGGCAGGCTTTTGGTGCAGGAGTTAAGCTGCCGCTTGGGTCACCTACATTCCGTGCAGAAGTGCCTGGATCTGCTTTGGGGTCCAGCTTGCTGCTCATGCTCACTCTGAGAGGCTGCAGGTGACGGCTCAAGTGCTTGAGTCCCTGCTGCCCCCGTGGGACAACCCGATTTAGTTCCAGGCTCTTGGCTCCCGTCTGGCCCAGCACTGGCTGTTCTGGGCATTTGGCGAGTGAACCAGTGGATAGCAGCTCTGTCCCTCTGTCCATTTTAAATAAAGTAGATGCATAATTTAAAATTGCTGAAGGCAAGAGGGGGAGGAAGAAAGAGAGGGAGAAAGAAGGGAGGGAGGGAGGGAGGGGAGGAAAGCGTCCCCTTAGGAAGGCACCTGGATCTGAGCCTCGTCTGCCCCAGCCCTGGCGGGTCTGTCTCTGTGAAAAGTGGGACTGTTTAATAACCCAAATGCCACCCAGTGTGGCAAGATGCCCACATGGCAAACGGTCTCGGAGTCCGAGGGAACAGGCGCGGGCTCCCGCCTCTCTCCTGGATGTTCGTCACGGAGGACGTTGGTGGGCTCAGGGGGGGTTTTCTGTCCTGGTTGCTGCTGAACAGATGCGCTCCACTTCACGTGGGCTACAGGCACCCGTGATCTGGCCCCTCTGTGCAGGGTGGCGGTTTCACACTGGGGCTTTGGTGTTGTGTGCCACGACACGCTGTGTGACTTCTGGCTAGTCGCTTAACCTCTCTGGGCCTTAATTTTATTTAAAAATCAGGAAGGATATCTCAGTGTGCCCGTGTGAGGATTCTATGAAATAACATCTGCTTGCCACCCAGGAAATGCTGCTCACCATTATCGCCATCAGCACCGCCCACCCACGGCTGTGCACCGCAGGGCAGAGCTCCAGAGACTGCAACCTCCCCAGAGGCCAGGACCAGGTCTCACTCCCCTCTGCCCCTGCGCCCGGCACAGAGCCTGGCTCTAAATGGGTGCCCAGGCCGTGAATAGTTCACATCTCTGCACACAGCCGGTGCCTGGGCTGATCCCAAAGCCGGGCGGGGGCTCCGGAGTCGCAGGGACTGAATGAGTCTCCCCCAACCCCTGGGGAGCACCATCGTAGCCGCCTCATATTTGAATCCCAGTGCCGTCACCTCTCAGGGCTGTGACCTTGGGCATTGACCTCTCTGGGGCTCAGTTTGCTGGTCCACAAGGTGGGTTTGGTGTGAGACTCGACTCTTCCTTAGACAGCGGTGCAGTTCCTTGCTGGGTCTCCTGGGGCCGTTCCACCGACTTGACCCCACCCGAGGACACGCCTACTCATCCCACTCAGCGCAGACACAGTCTCCAGGAAGCCTTCCCGGCCGCCTCCCCTGCTGAGCCCCCACCCCACCGCCGCCCTGCGCCTCATCCTCAGCGGCCCCTCCCCCACAGTTTCTGGAGTCAGGATTCAGCTGCCACGTCCACTGTCCACCGTCCACTTGACTTTAACCCAAAGCTCTGGGAGACTTCAGGAGGAGGGCCTCTGTGACCAGCTCCCAGCACCTTCCCTGGGCAGTATGGTCATCTCTGGACATCAGGCAGGCTTCCCGGGGCTGGGGGAAGGCAGGACGGCGTGTCCTGGGCTTTCCGGGGCGGTTGTCCTCGGTGGCGTGTGTGTCGGAAGCAAGAGCCGAGCAGAGGGAGGGGTGGAGGTGGAAGGGGCAGCTCCTCCGGGCTGGAGAGTTGGAAGGACTCAGAATGTGTCACCCTCTCTGGGACTGCACTCCTAGCTCCCTGACGTGGGACTTGATCTTTCTGATCCCAAGTGTCAGTGACCAAGCGAGAGTGGCATAGACGAACCCACGCCCCTCCCCCAGCACTGTGTGAGTGGCAGGGCCCTTCTCTTCCCCAGCCCTTCCTGGTTTCCAGAGATCTCTGCCTGCAGTCATTAACCTACCAATGAGGGAGCTTTCCTCGCCAAGCCTTGGCCCCTCCCCACCACCTCCTAGGTGCCCCCCACTGCCACGCCCACTCTCCAGGCAACCTTATGGCAAGGGCTCAGAGACGCTGAGCGCCTTGTCTGAGGCCACACAGCCAGGATGGAGGGAGCTGGGAGGTGAAGGCCTGATGTCCATCAAAAAAGGCTTTCATAGACCACACCCCCCGCTCCCCCTCCCTGGGCTGGTCCTGGGAGCGTGCCCCACCCACCCCCGCAGTGGCTCCTCCCCTAGGAATCCCCCGCAGACCCTGGAGGAAGGAGCTCAGGAGGGCCGAGGAGGGGGCCCCACCACCAACGCGAGGCAACCACATCCTGTGACGGTTGCCCTGGGGAGCGCCTGCTTTTTCTCCACCCCTGGGACAGGTGAACAGAAAACAGGCCCGTCCTGCCCCAGAGGGTGGCATCCAGAACCCACCTCCCCCTCCACCCCCTTCCCAGGAGGGCTGGGACACCTGACCCTGCAGGCAGGCAGGCAGAGCTGGGCACCGGCCATTGCAGCTCCTGGGCGGGCAGAGCCCCGGAGGAAGGGCCCCAATTCTTCCACGTGAGTCCGCGCCACGGCCCCCTCCCTCTCTGATGCTCCTGGACTGGACAGAAAGCCCCTCCGCACTTGTCCTGTCTTGGAAGCTTTGTCTGGGGTCCAGGCAGGAGCTCATCCAGTGCAGCAACCCTGGCCCACATGAGTACACGCACACACGCATGTACACAGACACACAGAGCAGGCCCTGGCCACACTCCGCCTGGACCTATCCCCTTGACAATGCCTGTGGCTCTCCACGTGTCAATCTCTGTGAGTGATCAGCCACTCACAAAGCAACTCCATGGCACTGGGGTTGGGGGTCATGGTCTCAACCAGTGTCAGGCAGAGGTCGGCCCATCCACCTCCCGTCCCCTTGTCCCTTACTTAGTGGGACAGCCGTCAGGCGCGCCTCCCAGAGCCCGCAGCAGGACGGAGCCCCAGTGGCCCAAGGTCACAGCCGGCTCACCAGCTCCTGTCCTGTCTCCCCTCCCCCACTCTTCCTCATTTTCTCACCGGTGCTCCCTGGGATCGATTCCCAAACAAAGGACTTGAGCTCAACTGCTTGTCCCATCTGCTGCTGAGGGAACCCAAGGCACGCCTCACACACAGGCACACACGTGTGACTTGCACGCACACACACTTGCACTCATGCCTGGGTTCGATGATAATTCAAGGACTTGTCACTCTGCGTCCTGGTTTCACTCAGCAGTTTAATCCCAGCTATTCAGGATGGAAATCCTCGGGCCTCACTGGGCCTCAGCTCTCCGGGCAGCCCTGCGTGCTCACCCAGGAGCAATGCAGGGAGACCCAGGGGACCAGTGCAGCCCCAGGGCTGCTCTCTGGCAGATGTCTCCGTCCTTCCTGTCCCCTGCAGGGCCTGGGCCCCTGACCCTGAGGTCTATGGGGGCTCTGGGCTGGGTTAATCTTTGTAAACTGTAGGAAGCTTAAAATAAGGATTGGCTGTCCGGGACCATTCCCAGGGTACAGGCCTGTGGATTCAGAAGGTCCCTAGAGACGAGACTGCCCTCAGACCCCAGCTCCTGCGTGGGGGCCTGCAGTCACCCTGCTCGCTGTCAGCTGCCTGTGCCGTTGGCACCCTGGACAAAGACCTGGACCAGCGTTCCCCAGGACCCCCTACAGAGTGACACCAGCCAGCAGCCCCGAGCACACGGCTGCCCTTCTCGGGACCTCTGGGTGCTGAGCTGTCTGAGACTCAGGGACTCCAGTGAGGACGGGAAGGGGCCTAGGCGTCGTCCCCCGGAACCCCCAGCAGCTGCGGGAGGCGGCCCGGACTCTGCAAGCTCATGCCTGAGCCACGGCTTGCAGGGTCTCCCCACCCTGGGGCTGCCTTGGGAATTCCCTTCCTGCTCTCGGGCCAAGGGTTGGGGGTCGGGCCGGGAGGTGGGACCGGGGAAGGGGGGGTGGGTATCTCAGCCCTGCGGGACTTGGGTTGGGAGGGCGGGGCGGGGCAGGAGTAGGCAGAGCAGGCGGCCAGCGCTGGAGAGCCACTCAGGAGCCCGGACTGGACCCGGTCTAGGCTGCTCCGATGTCATCATAGTCGTCCTCGGAGGTGGAGTCAGCCTGGGGGCTGGGGGGCCCTGTGGGGGGCCGGGAGGCTCAGGTCAGCAGGAGGCCCAGTCACAGCTCCTGCTGCCCCAGGGGACAGAGCAGAGCAGGCCTGAGTCCCCCTCCCCTCCCCTGCTGTGCTGTGTGAAAGCCCCTTGCTCACCGCCAAGGCCTCGCCTGGCTGGCTCAGGTCACCGTGCTGGCACAGGGTGCCTGGTGGATGACTGAGTGCTGGGAGCCCCCCTGCTGCCACAACCTCCCCCAAAGGGGCCAACCAGCTGCTTCTGCTTGCATGCCTTCATGGACGGGGAGCTCACTCCCTCTCAAAGCCACATCTGACTATTTCCCCATCCAGTCCAACTCATTTTCCTCACCCCCTCTTACGCTTGCTTTGTTTTAAAAACGAACCCTTCCCTCCTCTGTTCCCGTTCCTGTCTCTGTTTTTGCCTTGAGCTGATGCATCCAGTGGATCCAGAGCCTCCCCTCTCCTCCACACCCCAGTCCGTCCCCGGTTCCCCCCGCCCTGCCCTTGGCACCTGGACACCCAAACTGCTCCACCGGAGGCGGCTGGGGCGGCGGCTGGAAGTTCTGGTACCACTCCCCGGACGAGGTGCTGGAGCTGTCGTCAGCCAGGGGTCCTGCTGGAGACCCGTGGGGCCAGTCAGCCTCTGCCGGAGCCGGGAGGCCCTCGCCACTCAGGGCAGCCCAGGCCTGGGCTTCACAAAGTAAAAAGTGACACCCGGAGAGGCGGCAGACTTGCCCCAGGTGCCACAGCCAGGGGCCGCGGGGCTGGGACTAGAACCCTGAACTCAGCCTGGCTCCAACCAGGCTGGGGTGCATCAGGATGGAGCAGGGGAGGTTTCGGGGTTGCACGGCTTACCCGGGCAAGCCGCCTGGGGGCCCGCCAGCTCCAGGTTCGGGGGCTGCTCCAGGAGCGGACTCCTCTCTGAAGGAAAGCCCTGGAGACTCCAGGCGGGGGGCTTGCTGCTGGGGCTGTTGCAGTAGTCCTCCCCGGAGGAGGTGCTGGACTCGCTCTGGCTCCTGTGCTGATGCTGAGGGCCCAGGGAGGGGGCGTCTGCGATGGGGTTGGCAGCCAGGATGGGGGAGGTATGCAGCTCTTCAAGTCCTGAGGAAACAGGAAGCAATGCAGCAAGAGGGCTTCCAGTCAGACTCTGGAAAGAACTTGCTGCCTACAGGGACGGTTAACGTCAGGGAGGACCCACGGCGGGCGGTGACTGCTGTGTCTCCAGGGGAGCTGAGCTGGAGGCAAAGCTGTCATCTTGTCTCCCTCCCCAGCCTGACTCACCTTCCTCTAGCGGGGGCATCTGGAACCTTCTCTGCTGGGCCTCGTCCTCTGTGACCCGGTGCCGCTGGGAATCTGCAGGCAGAGCAGGCGGTGGGGAAGGCGAAGTCCCTGCCTCCTGGTCCCAGGAGCCCAGGGCAGGGGGACACCCCAAGAGGTAGAGGGGGCTTGGCCTTTCCCCCTCACCCAGGCAGACCCTGGACTTCAAACTGGGGCTGACTGCGGTTTACCCTGACACCAGCACGGCTGCTTCGGGCCGGGAACCCTGGTGCCCTGCGCCCCAGCTGAGCCTCCTGAGACCTAAGGACCTAGCAAGAGGCCTGGCGTCTCTCCCTGTGTGCTAGCAGCTCAGGGCAGGCACAGCGCTGGTGCCTGCCCCTCTGAGGAAACTCGCGCAACGGGTGTAGGATCATCGCATCACAGCCTCCGTGGCTCCTTCGAGTTTGAGAATCAGAGAGACGGAGATTCCTAGAGTCCGCAGGACCTGAGGGTCCAGGATGTTGGTGTCAGCCCCAGCCTGTGCTGGACACGGAGCTGCCTAGGCCACGGGCTTTGTCTTCCTGGGTGGCGGCCCGGGAGTGGGGCTGATGCTGGCAGCTCCAGCGTCCTGTCTTCCCTGCTGTCTGGGACGTGGACGGGGTTGTGGTTGGGGGCCAGTGGGGCCAATGGGGGGGAGGTATGTGTGAGCCACTCCAGATCACGTGGACAAAGCTCCAGGCATTCTAGGGGTGTTTGCCACACACATCCTGACACACACAGTGGGTGTGGGAGAGGCTAGAGAATTGGTTCCACACAGGTGGGGGCTTCTCTGGCCTGCTCCAGCCTCCCAGCACAGCCCAGGCCCCCACTGGAAGCTCCATCTACCCTTCCCTACCCCTGGCAGGCAGAGGGAAGCGGCGCACAGGTCTGAGCTATGTAACGGTGGGGAGCAGAGGTGGGGGGGAGGTGCGTGGGGAGGTCCACATGGCACACAGAGGTGTGGCTGCACAAGAAACCATCCCAGACCATCCCAACTGTGTCTCTTGCCTGGATCCCTCGTATCTTAAACTTAAGCGTTTAGGAAGTGGGCCCAGTGGGTGGGCCTTCAGCTACTGGGAGCGTGTCTTTGGAAGGCACCTCCCCCCAGAGAGTTCTAAAACCCTGAGTTGGGGTGAGGAGGCCAGCGTTATGGTGCAGCAGGTTAAGCCGCCACTTGGGATACTGGCACGGCATCCCATGGCTACTCCACTTCTGATCCAGCTTCCTGCTAATGCACTTGGAAAGGTGGTGGATGATGGCCCACATGTGGCTGCTCTGGTCATTTGGGAAATAAACCACGGGATGGAAGATCTCTCTTCTCTGTCTCTTCCTCTCTCTTTGTAATTTTGCCTTTCAAATAAATAAATGAATGAATCTTTTTTTTTTTTTTTGACAGGCAGAGTGGACAGTGAGAGAGAGAGAGAGACAGAGAGAAAGGTCTTCCTTTTTTGCCATTGGTTCACCCTCCAATTGCTGCTGTGGCCGGCGCACCGTGCTGATTCGAAGGCAGGAGCCAGGTGCTTCTCCTGGTCTCCCATGGGGTGCAGGGCCCAAGCACTTGGGCCATCCTCCACTGCCTTCCCGGGCCACAGCAGAGAGCTGGCCTGGAAGAGGGGCAACAGGGACAGAATCCGGCGCCCCGACCGGGACTAGAACCCGGTGTGCTGGTGCCACAAGGCGGAGGATTAGCCTAGTGAGCCACGGCACCAGCCTAAATGAATGAATTTTAAAAACAAAACATGAGTGAGTCCTGCAGACTCAATGATGGCTCAAGACTTGGATCCCTGCCACCCACACGGGAGACCACAATGAAATTCCTGGCTCCTGGCTTTGGTCTGGCCCTAACTGAACAGTTGCAGGTACATGGGGAGTGAACCAGCAGATGGGAGCTCTCTCTCTCTCTCTCTCTCTCTCTCTCTCTCTGCTTTTCAAATTGAAAAGAAAAAAAGAGGCCCGAGGTAGGCCTAGCCATTCTCCCTCTGCTCCTGTTGTTACCATTCTCCAGCCTTACCCAGTGGTTCAACCATGGGGCCTGCCTGATCTTGGACTGTGAACCTCCACAACTGTGAGCCAGAAAAAACTTCTTTCCTTCCCAGGGAGCTTCACCAGGCATTCTGTTACAATACAGAAAAGCTGGCTCATGCAGGCCATCAGACCCTACCTGGCCAGAAACAAGATAAGGGTCAGAGCGGAAACACCTCGAGACATGGAGCTGGCTCCTGGGTCACAGAGAGCTTTGAAACTTCAGTGTTGGCCCATTTCAGCCAATGCAGTAGGTGACAAGGGGGGATTCTGCCTATACCCTGCAGGGGTCCCAGGTGGGACTTGTGATGGGGGCAGTTGAGTCCTGGGGAGCCCGGCCCAGGCACTCACTGTAGAAGGTGGTCAGGGCCACAGGAGGCTGGGCGCTGAAGTCATAGTGCTCATAGTCTGAGTCCGAGCTGGAATCTGAGTCCTCGGCAGGCTGGGCCCGGACCTGGATGGGCAGCTTGGGAACTGGGGAGAGAGGAGAGGAGGGGAATATGGCAAAGTGGAGGATAGAAAGGTATAGGGAGAGGTGAAAAGAGAGAGGGTGGTGGGGACAGCAGACAAGGCAGGAGAGCACCAGGTAGCCCGTCTTGTGCAGGACCATCCAGTGTGGGTTTTCCTAACTGGCCTCGTCCATTCTAAACAGCTTAACAATAGCCATTTCTTTATTTACTTAGCAAACACTTCATGGGGCTTTTTCTATGTGCCAGGCACTATCTGGTCCCATCTGACCTTCACTCACTCTGTGAAGTAGGTTCATTCTTATCCCCACTTTACAGCCGAGGTCCACAGAGGTTCTCACCTTGCCCAGAGGCAGGTGGCCCGGCTCTAAACCCCTAGACCCTTCCGTGACTTCGTGGTGTGTGGCCTTGCTCTGGATGCTAGATTCCTATTCTCTTCTCAAATATATAGATATGGAGTGCAAAGAATATATGTAAAATCTGGCCGAGTACTGCATTGGTTTTCACGTCTTTGGACTCTTTGATAAAGGTGATTAAATATATTCATAATACAAGCTGATTAAACTCCAACTCTTAGGCATGACTCCAAGAGCTTTTAGTTCTTATAAGAGATGGATGACTGACCCAGTTTCTTTTTAACTTGGAAAATATGAACTAAAACTATGTTCTATGAACAGGGTGGGCAGCTTTCCATGAGAACCAAGATCCACAATGCCCTTGGCCTGTATTTGTGGGGACCTCACGAGCCCAGGGTCCAGGGGTGATTGAACTTGGAGGTCATTTGCCCATCAAGCTCAAGAGGGACTTGGCTGCTCCAGGTCCCAGAGCCGGCAGGGGTCTCACCTCCGGGGGGCTGGCACTGCTCTGACCTAAGCAGAAAGCCTACCCTTGCTGTCCTCCCCACCCCCCTCACCCAGGGTAGGGGACGTCCTACCTTCTTCTTTGGGGATGGTGATGGGGACCGCTTTGTAGCTATTGGTCCCTGCTGGGATGGTGGTGGGCAGGTGCTGGTGGTTCATGGTAACAGGGAGGGCTGAAGGAGGGGAGGCAGAGAGTCTACAGGTCATCATTTTGCCCTGCCCAGTCTACCTGGCTGCTGTCATCCAGCCACCTGCTTCCTCACTCCCAAACACACACACACAGACACACACACAGACACACACACACACAGACACCGGCTGCTCTTCCTGTGGGACCCACATCATTGGGTCCGCCTCTGCTGGCCATGCTGGGAAAGTCCTTCCCTTCACTTTGGGTGTCCCCGGGGCTGAGGGGTGTTGCTGGATCATGCCACTCCTGCTGGGATTCCTCGGAGGCTCACATCGCCTGGGGAGGGCTGCACCCTGCATCTGCGGCCTCCCGTCCCTGTGCCTTCCCAGTGCCTCACCAAACCCTGCACTTACCATATTTTCCTTTGATTCTGAAGAGGATGAAGGCTATGGAGATGAGAGAGGCAAGGAGGAGAACTCCCAGGACGATGCAGGGGATGAGGAGTGCCAGCTCCTGGGATTCCTTGTCCTCCATTTTCACTGTCACAGAAGGTTCTGGAAACAAGAACCTCAATTTAGAGAGAAAGAAGAATGGACAGAATTCTCACTTTTCTTTCTGATTTGCCATTCTCTTTAGAGCTGAATCCCTTCCCTTTTTAACTTATTCTTTCCTTTTCTTTAAAAAGATGTCCACATCTGCTTTTGGGTACCTGGAATACAGCAGGTGCTCAATAAATGCATATCTAGTGAAAGGGTGATTGCTTGAAACTTCCCCATGGCTATAAGCCCACTGGGACCTCTGCTAGCCCTTCAATACTTGGTCTCTGTTCCACAGGCAATTATTGAGCACCGACTGTATGCCGGGCACCCTGGAAACACAACTATGACAGCAGTATCAGGGGCCTCAGGGGCAGACAAGCAGTGTGGGAGACACCCGCTGATGGGTCGTTTCACAGGGACTTGGGGACCTGAGGCCTTCAAGGGGCATCTTACTCTCCACAGATGAGGAACACGGCTGGTGTTCCAGCGAAGGTGACCCTGAGCCACCCTGGCTGTGAAGCCAACATCAGGAGGGTGGGTCTCTGGTCTGTGCCAAGACCCTCCTCCCTGCCACACAAACCCTCCATGGGGGAGGGAGTGTGGTCTGTGGGTAGAGGCCTCCCCACCCTGCAGCCCCTGCTCTGCTGTGACAACGCACTGCCCTTGCAGCCTCACCCCTGCTTGAAAGACCCACGTCCACCTGGCTGGGTGCAGAGGCCCTGCCGTGTGCAGATCACAGGGACAGGGACAGGAGGGGGTTAGCCCTTCCCCCCGCCTGCCTTCTTCCTGTTCTCAATTTCCCCTCTCCTTTCCCTACGCAGGGGTGGGAAGCTGGATTTGGCTGAGGGAAGCAGGAGTAAGGAAGAGGACAGGTGATGGGGTTACAGAGAGCCCAGTGAGTGTGGGCTCTGCGGGGCTGGGCCGAGGCAGGGCTTCATAGACCAAGAGCTGGGAGGCCAGGTCCCTCTTTGCTGTCCTGGAAGGGTGGGGCTCCCCATCCCAACCTCAGCAAGGGACAGTGTTCAAGGCTTGCCTGTGGGTCTAGGCAGGAGCCCACCCTACAACCTGTGCAGTTGCCTGGGGTTTAGTCCCTCTCTGTGCCCTCCCCCCTCTGGAGTGGCTGAGACAGGTGAGAGGGAGTCAGGAGGCAGGACAAAGGAACTGGGGCCAGCCCCATGGCTGTGCCAGGGCTGTGAGGGACTCTATGCCTGGATCAGATAACCCAAAAATCTGCCGCAATGCTAGGATCATCATCCCCATTTTATAGCTGAGAAATCGGAGGCCCAGAGAGGTTCAGGGGTGCCCACTATCACACAGCTAGCAAGAGGCACAACAAGGACCCAAGCCCCAGGAATCTGCCTTGATGCTGGCAGACGAGCAAATGTGGGTCTGGAGGTAAGGCTTTGGGTGCTAACTCTGGCCAAGCCCCGCTGGCTGTCACTTCTGCCCCAGGTCTCAGGAGGAAAGGGCTGGGAATAGCGGCTGAAGAGCACAAGGCCCAGTTCCCAGAAACACCAGCTGGTCCCCAGGAGCCGGCAGCAGCCCAGGACCACCCAGCCTCTCTCCAGCAGTAGCCTATAGGAACGCACAGGAGAGCAGGAAAGGAGACGCCTGCCGGGGCAGAGAGGGAAGCAGCACAAAGAGCCCAGGGAGTCCGCTGGCTGGGGCTTGGGCTGGGGCTGGGAGCCATCGTCCACCCCAGACATGCACACACACAGCACACAAGCAAGCTTGCACGTGCACACAGCCCCTGTGTGCCAGAGCGACTATGCCCCGGCAACACTCACCTACAGAGGCCGGCTGGACACTCGCAGGGACCTCGGGAGTGGACAGATTGTGCAAACTCCGGGAACCTGCAGAAAGCACCGCCCCTTCACTCCACTGAGCACCTACTGTGTGCTGGGCCTCGTGCTAGACACTGAACAAGGCAGACCCGTGACCCGGAGCTGGGGCACAGAGCTAAGGAGTCTCTCCTTTCCCACCCCTCTCAAAAAGGAGGAGGTCAGGGGTTCAATGCTGGGAGGTTCTTTGGTTAGAAAAAGAGGCTTAACAGAAGAATTATCCTCATTTCTGTATCATCTGCTACAGACCACAAATCCCTTTGCTGGTCGGGCTTTGGTTTTATTCATCTATTGTCTTCATTATCATAATCAGCATCCCCATTTGACAGGCGTGCTTACAGAGAGATGAGCTTACAAAGTCTCTCAGCAGATGTTGACTGGCTTCCTAGGTACCCTGGGAGGTGCCTCGCACCAGCATGCACATGTTCACGAAACTAATGCCTGGGGTAGGGGGCGGGGCTGTGTGAAGCCACCCAGCTGGTCCAAGGCAGGGCTGGAACTCATGACCAGGTATCTACACTCCACAGGGATGCCAGCACACCACGTGTCTTCGGGTCTAACCTACTTGTTCACTCTTTGACACCTCTGAAGTGGGGAAAATGCGCTCGATGGAAAGGTTGGCTGGCGTCTGAGGAGTTCACTTTGCCAGCATCTGTTTTCCTTTATGCTTTGTGCAATACTAGTGGTGTGATTACCATCAGTGCCATACACTAGAACCCAAATCATAGGGGGCAGGGGACCCAGCTGCAGCAAGTGCCCCTGAGTGTTTGGCAATGCCTGGCCACTATGAGGCCCGAAGCTGCCGCTGCTGCTGTTATCAGTGTCTCTTAGTTTAATTTGTACTGTGATCACCAGCCCTGGGATGGCAAACTGATACCACCTCCTGAGCCAATTCCCGGGAGCGCAGACCACTTCTTAGCACACTACAGTGCCTTCGGCAATATTGGATTTGTGACTGGGGCTGAGCTGAGCATCTATAGCAAAGATCGCCTTGATTCCTCAGCTCAGCACAGCAAAGGCCAAGATTCCTTTCATGTTGATCAATTCCAGTGGAGCAGGCCGGCGCCGCGGCTCACTAGGCTAATCCTCCACCTAGCAGCGCCGGCACACCGGGTTCTAGTCCCGGTCGGGGCGCCGGATTCTGTCCCGGTTGCCCCTCTTCCAGGCCAGCTCTCTGCTGTGGCCCAGGAAGGCAGTGGAGGATGGCCCAAGTGCTTGGGCCCTGCACCCCATGGGAGACCAGGAGAAGCACCTGGCTCCTGCCTTCGGATCAGCGCAGTGCCCCCGCCGTGGCGGCCATTGGAGGGTGAACCAACTGCAAAAGGAAGACCTTTCTCTCTGTCTCTCTCTCTCACTATCCATTCCAGCGGAGCCCTCGGGCTTCAAGCTTAGGACAGATTCAGGTGAAATTCCTGGGTCAACTCAGGAGGTAGAGAGGGGTGGCTGGGGGTCGAGATACCTGAGCAGAGGACCCTGGCGGCGTGGGACTGGCTGCAGAGGTTGGAGTTGTTGAATCGCCAGGAGCAGTTGGAGAGGGTGGGCTCCCCTCCCTCGCAGGAGTAGTACATCCTGCCCGAGAGCGAGTGCGGCCGCCCCCTGGGCCTGTCCACAAGGGTTCCGCAGCCCAAGGCCCGGCACAGCACGCTGGCTTCCGGTGAGTACCACTCACTGTCACACACCGTGCTCCACACCCCTCGGAAATGCACTTCCACCTGCCCCTCGCAGCGGTCAGCGCCTCCAGTCAGGCGCCAGGACTGGTGCTCTGTGGGGAGGAGAGGGAGGTCCTTTGTGGCCACGTTCCCTCACACCCCGGTACAGCACCCACGCAGAGACCACTGCAGCCAGTCGGTCCCCAGACCTCACAGGGTCTCCCTCCTGCTTCTGTACCCTCTCATCTCTTCTGGCTGACCCTAGATCCCGGCTGCTCAATGTGTGGTCCAACGACCAGCAGCATCAGCAGTACCTGGGATCTTACAAAGATGCAGAACACGGAGCCTTGCTCAGACCTGCAGAATCAGAATCTGCCTTAATATCCACCCCACCCCCCTGAGTCTCGTGGGACAAGAGCCTGGACGGCCTAATGGCTTTGGTCTCCTCTTGCAGTTGGAAACCAGGGGAGACTCCCTCTTGGAAAAAGGCTCACCTCCAGCGTCCCCTCCCTCAGCAAGTGGACAGGCTTACCCCTCCTGGGTTATGTGCCCCCTCTAAACTCCACCCGACTTCCTTGGGGCATCCACTACTTCCTGCCCCTGAATTATGACCCCCCCAGGTCTCATCTCGCTGTCCGGGCTGTGATCATCCAAGGGCAGGGATGCTCTCTGAAGCACCAACCCCAGGCCGAGCACCCAACAGGTGGAGAAGCATTGGCGGCTGAGACACTTGGGCCGGGCTCCCACTGACCTGAGCACACGACGCCCGCGTCCTCCTTGTGGCCGCAATAGTGCTCTCCTGGCGTCCCCGGGCAGTCCCACAGGTAGGTCTCGTCGCCGGAGCAATTCACCTGGTCGCGGTGGATGGGCCCTTGGCCAGGAGCGAAGTGCAGGCCGGGTAGGGCCTGGACTGCCCAGCCGCAGCCCAGTTGCCTGCACACCACGTGGGCGTCCTCCAGGTCCCAGGTGTCATCGCACACGGACCCCCACCTGCCGTACTCCAGCATCTCCACGCGCCCTGCACAGGGGCTGCCGCCGTCCACCAAGCGCAGCGCACGGTGCTCTGGGGGAGGGAGGACTTTGTGGGGGGGCGGAGCGGGAGCCTGGGGGTCTGGCGGGAGAGTTGTGGGCGGGGCGGGAAAGGCCCTCCGGCGTGGGCACCACCGGTGTTTGCCCTGGGGAAGGGGGCATGGAAGAGTGGAGAGCCGCCGGGATGGGGACCCGAGCGAGAAGCCGAGGCTGCAGGGTGCTCCGTACCTGCACAGGTGACCTGGGCCGGCCTCCCGTCGCTGCTGCACGCCTGGCTCACCACCTCGCAGAGCCGCCACTCGGCGCCGGAGCACTGGACGACCGGCAAAGTGGCGTTCGCAGTCTGGCTGGAGTTTCCCACGGCAGGTCTCGGGGGCAGCGTCGGGGAAGACGGGGCCGGTTGCACAGCCGCCTCTGCCCCGCCACAGCCCAGCACGCGGCACGCGGCCTCGGCAGCGCGGCCATCCCACAGAGCCCCGCATGCGGCCTTCCAGGCCTCGCCGAACCAGACCTCCACGGTCCCGCTGCAGCGACTGCTCCCGCTCACCAGGCGGAGCCCTGGAAGTGCAGGACACGAGCTGAGATCGCCGGAATCCGACTGTGGCTATCGCAGGCGTGGTCGCCTGGACCGCCACCCCTGATCCCTGCCCTGCTACTGGGAGCCTCCGCTTTCCAGTCTGCAACATGCGGCTGAGCTGGCCCATCCCAAGGCCGCTCGAGGGCCTGATCCGGTGGTTCTCCTTAGAGTCAGGAGGAGGTGGGGCTCAGCAGGGACCCTAGAGATGAGGGCGAGTTAGGCTTAGGGCAACAGAGGACCAGAGATCCTGTCCCCACAAGCTGGCCCCCCTCCCCTTGTCCCTATCTCCAGGGCAGAGTTCTGGGCTCAGGGGCCCTGGTTCAGGGGCTGCCTCTGTGGCTCTGGGAGTCCTGTCCTGGGGGCTTCCACAGTGTTGCACTGGAGGACAGACTTGGGGTTGGCTGTGGGCTCGAAGGTGGGCTCCTCCCTCCGCCAGGGTCCCTCCTGGGGAGCCATCCTCCATTTTTGCATGGGACTGGGCCTCCAGCACTAGCTTGTAGCTTTGCTCCGAGGAGGCAAGTTCTTAATGAACCTCTCTGCTGAGTAAATGAAGAGTGGTCTGGTGGCGTCTGCCATGCCACCAAGAGCTCTTCAACTGTTCTCCACAAATCCCTTGAGACTGCTCTGTGGCAACCTTGCCCACGTGTGTGTGACCTCTTGGTGGTCTCTCAGACACGTGGCTTTTGAGAGTGGATCTATAATGGCAACGCTTTGACCGTCGAGGGGGGAAGAAGCATTGTCTGGGGTCAGGGAGCCTCCTGGGTGCCTGAAAAGTCCCTTTCCCTCTTCCAGCAGCTCCGTCTCCGGGAGCTGACCTGGGAAGCCCCAGAGTGGTGGTTGGCTCACCTGGCTCCGAGAGCTTGCTCTGTGTGTGGCTGGCATCGGGCTGGCCAGACGGGGCTGTAAAAGGACCTGAAATGAACCAGCAACAGCCGTGGTGGGTGAGTGAGGCCAGATGTGCAGGGAGGGCATGGGGATAGCCAGAAGCACAGGGGGCATGTGCTGGAACCCGCCATGGCCATGTCCTGGAAGCCTTTGGAAGGACATGGTCCTTGACCTTGGCCACACTGCTGCGTCCTCTGCTTTATCTAGGAACCACATACACATCTCAGAAATCAAAACAGAGCAGGAGGCCAGCGCCACGGCTCACTAGGCTAATCCTCTGCCTTGCGGCGCCGGCACACCGGGTTCTAGTCCCGGTCAGGGTGCCGGATTCTGTCCCGGTTGCCCCTCTTCCAGGCCAGCTCTCTGCTGTGGCCCGGGAAGGCAGTGGAGGATGGCCCAAGTGCTTGGGCCCTGCACCCCATGGGAGACCAGGAGAAGCACCTGGCTCCTGCCTTCGGATCAGCGCGGTATGCCGGCTTGCAGCGCACTGGCCACAGCAGCCATTGGAGGGTGAACCAACGGCAAAAGGAAGACCTTTCTCTCTGTCTGTCTCTCTCTCTCTCTCTCTCACTGTCCACTCTGTCAAAAAACAAACAAACAAACAAACAAAAACAGAGCAGGGAGGAATGACAGTGGGCATTGAGGCAGGCCCACCTTCTGACCGGGTGACCATGGATAGGTGGCTTAGCCCCTCTCTCCCTGCCTGCTCCAGTTCATTGTTTGCGACACTTAGGAAAATGCTGTGAGATTGAAATGAGATAACACCTGTGAAACCCTTGCCATATGGAAGAAGCTCAAAAATGGGAGTGGTTTAGGAACAACTTTTGTGTGGAGGACTTGTTCTGAGACATCTCTGCCCGGCTTGAGGCTAACTGGCACATGGCGGACTGAGTGCTTTCAGACCCTGAGAAACGAACGTTCGCTAAGAGTCAAGTCCTTGTGCATGCAAACCCAAGTGCAATGTATTGCACACACAGTGAGGCAAGCGTTAGCACTCCCATTCTACACGGCAGGAAAGGGAGGTCTAGTTAGTACATCGCTTGCCCATGCCAGACAACATCCGTTTGTCCCTGTAGAATTGCCATCCACTCTTGCCCCATGAGTTTGAGCTATTCGGATGAAATCTTCTTAGGCCTTTTAATGCTTTCATTGAGTTCAGCCAGTGGGGAGCCCCAGCAGAGACAGGAAGGAGACACGAGAGTGAAGCTGGGGTGCTTCTGCCTGCCTCCTGCCCGTGAGGTCCCTTGCAGAGGCTGTCCCTTGTCCTTCCCTTGACCTTCTTCAGGGTCCTACTGACCCCTGGGCCTGTCTCTTCGGGCCCAGAGTGGAATCAGCCCAGCTGTGCCCCTGGTGACTGCATTTTCCTTTTCAAGTAGTGCTTTGGAGAATAAGCCTCCTTCAAACTCCTGAGTGTGCCGCCTGTTTCCTGTGGGAAGCCTGACTGATGAGTGGCCCGAGGCCACCAGCTAGCGAGCAGCAGAGCCAGACTTTGAACTGTCCCCGCGGAATGGACCCCGCGCTGCACTGAGCTGTTCTGGTTTGCCAAGTGCAAAGGGAGGGCTGCAGCAGGGCCTGACTTCTCTGCCTTTCCTGGTCTCTCCTGCAGTGACGCCAGGGCTGTTGAAGTCCGCACAGAAGAATGCACGTTTGCTCCTGGCCAAGGCAGGGCGGAGAGAGCCAGTGCCCCACCCCGATTGGTGTCTTGCCTGTTGCAAGATGTCAGAGGCCCTGACATCCAGAAGCAACCAGAAGACGGAGGGAGGTGCTGACCTGCCTTGGGCTTTGCCAGGAAGACTTGGGGGCGCACTTGTTATCACAGCCTCACCTGACCTGGCTTGACTAACAGAGGCTGAAGACCCAAGCACCAATGCTAAGCATTCTCACAGTTTCACCCGAGAAGGTTCCGTAGACTCACACCCAGATGAGCACGCACCCACGCACACACGCACACATGCACACGGCCCCTGCAGGCGCTGCCCTCCTCCGCGCTTCCATCTGGGCCACTCCATCACCCAGACAGCAAGGAACGAGGGCTGTAATTGCCCATCCTCAGCAGCTCCCTGGTCCGCTGCCCAGCCTGACCCCCTGGAGGGGAGATCACTCAGGATTCCGAGCACAAACTCTGCAGCTAATGGAATATTCAGAGCAAGAATTCAGATGCCCACAAGTTAGGATTTCAGAATCCTGGTTCCCACAGCAACGGTCCCAGGGCTCCGCTGTCGTTTTCAGTGCTGGGGGGAGG